AGAGTGACCAATTTTATTTGCCAGCATACTATATTATGTGGCAGAGGCACCAGTCAGCAGTCAGCCGGCAGCAGGCAGCAGGCAGGAAGCGGGCTGGCAGTCAGTTTACTGTTCCAATGACCTTTCGACATGAGCCAGTCAAGCGAGTGGAGGCAGCCAGCCAGAAAGGAACGAAAAGTGGCACAACAGAAAAAACAATGCTTAGGTTGAGGATCAAAGTAAAGGATAAAGGATACCCTGTGTAAGTAATATCTAAATTAGTTATAAATATTGTATAAAGTCTGTAGAAAGCTTAATAAACGCTTTCCTGCTCTTCTCAATATATTTTTAAATGATTTATTGAAAGTATTTATATTTGAATTGTTTTTCTTATTAAAGTATATAGCATCTTCTCAGAAAGTTTTCCAACGCTAAGCACAGTTCCAGAAGACCCACATCCTTGAGCCGCATGGCAGCTCGACAACATAAACGGCGACCTTTGACTGCCACCAGACTTTAAGTGGGCTTGCCGGAGGAGGGTTGGGAGGCTTCAGTGGGTGGCCCAAGCCATGGGTAGGGGCTTTACTCTATTCATTTGGCCCCGGCGACTGGGCGCACTGCGTTGATTTCCGTTTGCTGCATGTAAGAGTGCAACTTGAGCCGGCACTTGCTCTCAAGTGAGTGTGTGGGGGTGTGTATATGTGTGTTGAAAACTAAACTGTTGCCATGTGACAAGTGGCAGCTTGACGACAACAAGAACAACTAGAGCAACAGCAACAGCTAGAGCAACAGCAACAGCAGCAGCAGCAGCAGCAGCAACATCAACGTCAGCATCAATGACGCTGGGTGCGCACTTTGCAGCAAACAAAACGGGGCAGCAATGTGCACCTGCTGCAGAAGCCGAGAGCTGGAAGAAGAAAAATGACGAGGACCACGAGAAGGACTCGTCGACTCGCCCGTTGTTGTTTCAAGTTAAAAACGGCAGAAAGCGCACTCGAAAATTGCCACAAAAAGGCAGCAGTGGCAACAGTGGCAGCAGCACTCAAGTAATGAGTCGCCCATTCCGCAGCAGACAGCTGCAGTCAAAGGGGTTAAGTGTTGGAATTTAATACACAATACAGGCAGTCACCTGTGAGAATGTTTATTGAACCCATCAACGGCGTCGAGTCAAAGTTGAAGTCGAGGGCAGCGCCCGGGCGCCAAGAAAGAGAATCATTTAACACGAAAATCGGATTATGAAGCTCATACGGACAAAGTCAATATCATTGTGGTATATATATGCTATATATGTTATGGCGTGAAGGGGTCTGAATTCATAAGAAGACTTTTCTCCGCTTTGCTTCGCTTTGGTTTGGTTTGCTTTCGTGAATTGTCAATGCAACAACAATTGAAAATCATTTGAAACCTTTCAAATGTCACACAAAAGAAATTGATTTGAGTTCTTGGCATTTGCTTCATCTTTTTGCTGCTGTTGGCTCTTGGTTGCCATGAGATTGGATTTAAATTTACACCAGAGCCAGGACCAGGACCAGGACTTGGCAGCCAAGGAGGCATTGACGTCATCATCATTGTGTCATCTTGGTCAGATGCACTGAATAAAATATGCAGGACTCGATATGTACAGAGAGCAAAAAGGTTATGAATATTATGCAGAGACACAAGTCTTTAAATCTTAAATCTTTCTTAAATTAAACTAAGGTATCATTGAATTTAATCACAAAATCTTTAATTAAATTCAATTAAAGGTGTAGATCTATCTCATAAATTTCGTTCCCTGTGCAGAAAATACAGAGTCCAGCATTCCTGAAGGATATGAGCTGGCATCCTGAAACATCCTCTTTGAAAAGTTGGAAATAATAAGCTTGCATAAGTGGACAGGCTGTCAACTCACACCGCTTTTAGATGGAAAATATCTCTCCAAGCATGTTAACCTACTAAAGAGTAATGAGATTTTCACGGCCGTAAAAAAGTAACTGACCCACCTCGCCGTTTCGGGGCAACTTCCAGCACATTAACCCCCAGAAGGGGCTTAACTAATTCCCTTTCGACTCGCCAATTCAATTAGCAGTAAGACCCTGGACACACACATATACCCAAAGCCCACAGCACCAAAAAAAAAGGACGTTTTAATCGAATTTATGGGGGCGGACTGAGTTAATAGTTCTGCCTTTTGGGCCAACAAAAGGCTTACCTCAAGCCAGATAGCCAGCCAGCGAGCCATGCCCGGATTTATCTATTCTATTTTGTAATTTTTAATTTCACAACTAATGCGATTATTCACGGCTGACGGACCACGCCGGCAATAAAAATGGCCAGTGTGTAAGCCACGTTTAACACTCGGTTTATTTTTAGTTAACGAAACGCTTTCTCTTCGCCTTCTCTTCGTCCTTTATCCTGCAAATACGACAAAACTATTCGCACACGAGCATGCACTAAGCCCAAACTTTAAGCTTCCCAGTTGGTGGACAAAAAAAAAAGAGGACCTAGGATATTTATGCGAAGAATTGGCACCCTTTTTGTGAGAGAAAAACTAAATTTTCACAAAAATACGCTTTGAATAGAAACAACTCACAATTTCTGTTTTAGTTTTATGCCAAAGAACTTAATTGTTTCCATTTCTAAGCTGCTTCCAGAGTGGACAGTGCACTTAATGGCTCATAAAGTGTGATATCTATGAATAACATATGACAACCTAATGCGACATAACCCAACAACCCCAACATGTATCCAGCAGATACTGAAAGCCATGTGTAAGCCCTCTTGCGGGCGGAGAAGGAGAATTACTCACCAAATGCAGCGAGGCGTGCAAATCTCACGGAAAGCCACGAAAAATTGCCAAAGTCCGACGGCTGCGGCGGAGAACTCATCTCATCTGCTAGTCAAGTCCCATTTGCAGTGGAACTTAAAGCTCTGCGGCGTGCCCGGTCTCAGTTATGAGTGCTTAAAGTCCTCCATTTTGCGCTTAACATTTAATTAAAAAATTTTGTAATTACCGCCTGGGAAGTGGGTTTGCCTTGCTCTGCTCCGTTTCGCCATGCAGCTGCCTGGTGTGCCCCTTGGCACTTGCAGCTCTCAGGATGTGGGGACTCCTTCTGCGCCATCCCCTCGTTTGTTTGTCTTGCAGAAGCGATTCACACCCGAGTGGCTAGGAGATGGCTCCTAACTGTTATTGCAATGAACTTGGCAGCTGCCTGCACTGCCCTCCATTTCCCACTAATTGATAAATGTAAACTCCTTGGAGGTCCTTTGTCCCTCTGGGCAAGTATGCCAACCTGGTCATTGTAGTTAGCAAGAGCCAGGATTTCGGCCATTAATTTGTTGCATTGTCTTGGAAAGTTAAGGGGTCTACAGAAAATCCTCAGTTAAGCAATGATCCCCCCCCCTGCCTGCCCCCTACGCATTTCTCGCATTTCTCCAGAAATTCCATTGTGCTTCTGCACGTGCCAAAATGTGTGGGAGTGTGGGGCGTGGCATCAAAGTGCATGCAAAATACGTGACATGCATATTGAAGTCACTTACTATTTATTTTTATTACGCAAAGCAGCAGAAACTTTTTACACATATTTTTCCCTTAGTTTTTCTTTGTTGTGGCAACTTTCCCGGTAGCAAGGTAGGTAGTACAGCAGGCAACAGCTGGATAAAGGGGCGAAGTAACTTCACTTCAGCTCCCCCTTCCTGACATGTTTAATAAATGGCAGTAGCTGTCAAAAAAGAGCGAGAGTTGTGTGGGTGGCTCTTCCTTTTGTTTTTGTTAACCTTCAAGGAAACTTGACTAAGCTAAAAAATTATTTGTATTATTTTTGCCATGCTAAAGAATTAAAATCTTTTAAATTTGAGTTACATGAACTCCCCTGGGAACTTATTATTATGAAAATTCTGAAAAACTTTCTATAGAGTAATGAATACTATTATATTTCACTATTCATTCCATCCTTACTGATTCCTAAATTATGCAACTGACTAAACGAGAGAAGCTCATTTGGGTTTGAGTTTTTCATGGGCCTAATTAGCTCGGCCGAAAGCTTAACCTGCCACAACATAGTCAAAATTTAAGCCAAAATAAAAGGCAAAAACAAGAGATCGTTCCATGGAAACGTGGAAATTTTCCATTAAACATCAAAAATTGATGGGCTGAGAAATGGCATCGCAATTATGCAGCAAGAGTTGACAGGAGTGGAAACGACAGGCCGGTCGACGACGGGTCGGCCGAGGACACAGTTTAGCACCTAGCGATGACCATAAAAATTTGTAATTTTCCCAACACATATTTCCTTTTTGGCAAACGGCCAAAGTATGCAGCGTGAAAAGAAAGAAAGAAAACCCGACAAAAATGTTGCTCAGGCCGTAAATAACCAAAGTAAACAACGCGACAAGCGGTTTGGCGGGGACCCGAAAAGCGAAGCAGACAAAGTCCTGGCCGCAAAAGCCAAAACTCACTGCGAATGTGAATATTCTTGGAATTTTCATTTGTTGTCTGGAGTTGCATGGGGTTGCATAGTTAGGAATGCCATTCCCCATTTCCCATTCCCGGTACCCGGTTTTCCGTCCCTCCCCCCCTTCCTCCTGTCATCGCAATTTGTCGCTTTGTGTTGCTCCTGCCGCTGCAGTTGTCGCTTCATTTTTGCAGCAAAAGTGTTGCAAAATATGTTGACAGGAAATGTTATGCGAATTTCACTGCGTATAAAACGAAATTTACGTGGGCTTTTCCACACCGTTTTTTTTACTTTTTACCTTTGTACGAAACACAAAAAAATATACCTGACCCTGGCCATTGAAAAACGAAATCAATCACTGGCCGCCGGGCTCTCAATCTGATCTTGTTACAGTTCCGAGTTGCAAAACCCAATTAAATGCACGAGAGATTGCTCTCGTATTCCCATCAGGGTTATATTATATATCCAGCAACTAGTTGCCGGCAATTAATTAGTTTACTTGATTGCAATCACAATACGAAAATAACCCTCTGGTCGGTTTCTATAAATTTACAAACACTTTTCTCTAGTTACCAGTTTAAAGTTGGGTGTTGACGGCTACACGGGAACCCATGTCCATATTTATCTTGAAGAAGATTCTCAGAGTTGTGCGATAATGTTAAAGCTAGGGATTGTATTGGTCTTGGCTGTTGTCTTGGAATTATCCCAGGTAAAGCTAAGATTTATCTTCTAAAAGAGAGAGAAGAAGCTTATAGTTCTTCCTTCCCGAAGGCTCTGCCCGTTCTGGAGGAAACCGCTTTTGTAAGTGAATGCCTCGCCGCAAACAACATAAGCCAGACCGAGTTCCAGGAACTCATAGAGCAGAGTTCCTCCGAAGAGGAGGACTACGAGGAGGATCTCGACAACACCGAGCGAAAATACAAGTGCTTTGTCTATTGCCTGGGCGAAAAAGGTAAAATCCTAGACTCAAATGGCTACCTAGATGTGGGCCTGGTGGAGCAGATGGAGCCGCTGAGTGAGCAGATTCGGGATGTCCTCTACCATTGCAAGAAGATCCACGATCAGGAGGAGGACAAGTGCGAGTACGCCTTTCAGATGGTTCGGTGCCTCTCGGAAAATATTGACCAGAGCGATGATGAAGTAACCGACCAGAACCTAGACGTGTCAACAAATAAGCTAAATGAATAATGAATCAAGCAAAAACAGGTTAAGCAGCACGAACTTAATTATATATAAGTGTGAAAACAGCCAGACAACTGATAGTTTTACTTCCACAATGCCGGCAGTTTTTCCTACCTTGATCTTGGTTTTAACAAGCTTGACTAAGGTGAAAGCAACTAATTAGCAAGTGAAATAGTTCCCATTATTTAAATAGATTTTCTTAACTGTGGAGTTAGAGAACAACTTCCATGTGAAACAGCGTAAAAAAGGCTAAATGATCAGGGTAAACTGGATCTGGAGCAGATGAGTGTCACCAGTAAGGCAGCGGAGGATATTACCTTTTTCTTACACCTTCAAACTGTTTATTTACGCTCTCAAGGCGGATATGCTAACCCTCGAACGACTCGAATTCACCACCCAGATGGGGTAATAAATTTTAATTAACATAAAAGTGCAGCCATTAATAAGCTCGGTGCATTTGCGGACTGATTTGCATAATCAAATGGAATTGCACGGGGCGGGCCAAGGGGGACGTTTGAATCAAATCAAACCGATCCGAATGGAATCCAATTAATTGCATTGCTCTGCCCAGCCATGACGCAGCAGGTAAACACACAGCAAATAATTGATTTAACATACTAAATATCGCGACAGAGTTACTGGTTGCCATATTTCTCGGGTAACGCCTCCGATTTGCCAGCTGTGTGTGCGAGTGTGTGTGTCACTTTGTCGGCCCCGTTTACAGGAAAAAACATTTTCCTCCTTACAATGCGATTCCGCTACAGTTTTCCATTCGCCCGTTCCACGGGGCGTATGAGTGTTTGTTTGTGTTCGACTTTTTGTCGCTTTCCTTTGTGCCGGCAGGCGAATGCAACGGAAGTTGTCATGTTGCATTGTTGCAGCTGCTGTTGATGCCGCTGCCATTGTTATTGTATGTGTATGGGGTCGGCTGGAAGAAAAGACGGGCGCGCCACGCCCACGCACTTGACTGGCCCGCTCCGCCGCCTCTCGGCTTTCGATTGTGTCAGCTCAACTTCACGCCGCCGTGGGGCGTGGCACATTAGTGGCAACAGCACGGCGGCGGTAAGGGAATGAAAGAAAAAAAATAGCAACAACAGAAAAACCCGGGAATACATGATTGTCAACACGCACACTTCTCACCCTCACCCTCAGCTCACCCACCCACCCACGGCAGCAGCGACAACACGGCGTATGAGTAATATGTCTGGCTGCCTCGCTGGCGGTGCCTGCGCCATGTCAACATGCAAAACAACAATGGGGCGGAAGTGCATTGTAAACGTAGCATGAGCTGCACCAACCGCCCATTCACGCTCCCACTCCGACACCCCTTTCCCTGGCCTGTTACCATCATCACTCCCTCGGTGGGCGAGTGCAATTATAATTTTGTAAATCGACGGAAGTTCGGATAAACATACGCAAAACGTTTGCCAACGCTGGCCGAAAAGGATGACAGGAAAAAAAAGGTGAACACGGTTGCCGGCCCTCAGGCCAATGCACTTTTGCTTAATGGCGAAAATGAGTAAAATATGTTAGGTAACCGGGAAAAAGAAAACCGGGGAGAGCATCAATCACAGGACAGAAAATATGATGTAAATCGAAATAAAATCAAAACGAAAAAAAATGGGAGAGATATCATTAAAAGGAATTATTTTATACAAAAACCTAGTGTAAATAATATTTGTATATTTTTAAGGGGACAAAATACTACAGAAACTTGAATATTTAAGAGCTCCATAAGTGTTAATTAAGCTGTAAGCTGTTATTATATTCTCAACAATTTTATTTTATATAATATTTGGAGTAAAGCTTTAAGACAAGAAACAAAGCATTATTTCCCGCCAAGGTTGGTATCCAATTTCGCTAGGTTTCCTTCAAGGTATCCTTATCAAACTCCATCTTCCTTAAACTCCGGTCCGGTCCACACATACTCCTGTGTAAAAAGCAATCTAATCGCACCCCTAACCCCCGCACACACATGCCAGAAATTAAATTCAACGAGCAAACTTACACTGCGTTGCATACTTCAGCAACTGCCAATAAAGTGCTTGGCGTGTGAAGCAGCCAAAACAAAAAAATATAAAATGAAAACCGAAAATGGGAAAAAAGCGTGGAAAACTTATACTTCTTATTCCCTGCCTTCAGCTTATGCCGCTGCGCTACAGTTTCTGTTGCTTCGAGTGCGCTTATCAAAAGACACACAAGGCACTGACATGCAGCCAGAAAACTGGAGACTGGGCGGAGAAAATCGGAAAAGCGAGAAGGAAAAAGCTCACGAAATAGGGATGGAAAGGCGGCGAAGCGGAGAGCGTAAGTTTTCCAGTTTTTCCGCTGCCATTTCACTTTGGGGCAAAAGCGTAGAAGAAGCAAGAAGGACTCTTTGCGAGTTCTGCATATGACTGCAGGCACGTCTTTAAGCCCCCCTCACACACACACGTTGGCGCTGGTGTGTAGGTGAGCGTGTGTAAGTTGATTTATGCCACTTTGTATACTCGGCATGCGTAAGGGTGTCCTTACACTGAAAAAGAAATTAAATCTTATGAAAGAAAATATAAAGTTGGTAATAAAGATACATAAGTCATAGAATCTATATAAAATATTTATCTGAAAAATCATAAATCTATAATTACATATATGTTTTTATATTTGTATATATGATATTTTATCATGTAAATATGCTAACAAGTGTTGTAGATCTCTAATTATAGTTCCATATCAAAATGGATTCATATTTCCTATTAAGACCTATTATAAAATTAAACCCCACTTTTTCCCCCAGTGTATTTACTGTCTGTGTGTAAGAGACGCTGCTGCATAAATGATTTATGGCCAACTCTCGCGACAGTTTCGTTTCGCTTTCGTTTGCAGAGAGTGCAACAAAGGGGCCGAAGGAGACGCAGATAGCCGGAGTGGAAACTGTCGCATAATAAATAATTATAATTGTATTTTTCTTTCCGTGTTGCCTTTGGTCTTGCCGGCTTCTTTGTCTTTTGGCTTTCCCTCGAAGGTGCCACCACACACCACATTAATAAACTTAATAGTAAATATTTAAGGAAAAAGGTGACGGGCGAGTAATTGAAACCGCCGCAGCAGGTGACCAGATGTTTCGGGGTCCAAGGACAAATGATAATGGTTCAATCGGGACCGGGAAGATCCTGCCAACGAACTATCACTCAGTTGTGGGTCAAAGAGACAACAACAGCCCAGCTTCCGGCAACTTCAAAGTTTGAGCTTCCTGCTTAGCCACCCAAAAATCTTTGCTTCCTTGGCTCGCCTTTATATATTTTTGAACTTTTTTTTTAGCTTTTGGCTTTCGGCTTTGTCGTGAAAGCGAAATGCGCTTTCACAGGAAACGGGAAGTACGCCTCATGCAACATTTATGGAGGGTCCACACTTCTGCCCCTCGGAAGGGACCAAAACTGACAATAGGACACAACCGAAACAAAAAGATACAGCAGGGAAGTTGACGCGTAAAAATTGTCACAAAGTGTAAATAGAAAATAAAATTGAAATGCCTCACAGAGATTTAATTAAATTTCAGGCCAACAAACAAAAACTGGCCAAAAACTGCCCACAAATACGGAAAACATAGAACGCAAAGTAAAAATATCTGAATTTGTGTGTGTTTGCACTTTTGTTGGCTGGGCATAAATATTTGAAAAATCTTCGCACATAAATAATTTCGTTTAAATTGCATACATAATTTGCAGCAGGCAAATCAGTAAACATTTCAATATCACCAGCTCCGAATGGGATTTGCCCTCACTTACTGCAACCATCGGCAAACAAGTTTTGGTAGACTTCTCCAGATTATTCAATGTTGGTCTCCCACAAACAGCCACCTCGATTTCCTTCTTTGCCAATCGAAGTTTTGTATTTTCTAGCTCTGAAATTCATATTTTTCATATATGTATAGTATTTTCCTTGATGTGGGGAAACTGATTTTGTTTATTTGCTAAACTTGATTTCTAGGAATTAAATTCTTGGCCAAATAAAAGCGAAAGTCGTAAGAAAAGTGTATGCCAAAATGTTTGTAATAGCTTCTGCTTTTGTGTGGCCTATTGATATTAAATATCTTTTGTGTTATATTAAACCTAAAGTTACAGTTTGTGAAACATTGGTTGCACTTTTTGAACTGCAACCTTGTTTCAAAGATATTTTCTTTTGTTAAGTTTAACCAATAAGTTGTTTATCTTGGAACACTTATGGGTGCTATGCATCCGCAAGCCAGATGTTAATGGTCACCTAACTTAAATATGCCTTTTGACTGAAGGCCAATAAATTGAGCAGTCTGTTTCTATATATTTTTGATATGCGCACGGCCATGCCATGGGCACGGAATATTTAATAAAAACCAATAAACGTTAAAAGCCTTTCCAGTGGGCCATGGCCGTAAGCCACCTGCCCTGGCTGGTAGACCAAACCCCACTGACCACGATCCTCGGCCGCATCATTCCCTGCCATCCCATGTTCCTGTTCCCCTTCTACCCCCGGCTGGCTATGCGCCCGATTAAATGCATTTAAATGTGTTTTCATCATAATTATGCATATGCAAACCTGACTCGACCAGTGGCCACTCTATCGCAACCCCGCCGAGCGTCCCCTTTTGACCCCGGCCATATGCCATGTCGTGGGTTTTCCGGCAGCTTAAGTGCTTTAATGGCTTTAATTATGTTGCATGCAATTATTGTCCATGTCCCCGGCAAGAATGATCTTCATCATCGGCTTAATAATGAAGCCGATTGCGAAGCCGATGCTGTTCGGCAGCTCTTGGCCTCCGACAAATGCAGCAAAAATTATATAATTAATAAATGAAAAGCAAAATGGATAAAGCTCCCCTTCCGCATTCACATCCAACTGATGTACTATGTACAACGAGGGGCAAAAGCAGCTGCTACTGCGCTTTGCTTTTGAGCATAAAATTCAATCGCTAAATTATGCAAATATTCCGCAACTGCGACAATCGGCTGGGGCCACGTTACGTATACGCAATGCCGGCCGGATGAGGCCTCCGCCATGACTCCCTTTTTTGTGTGTGTGTTTGTGCGTGTTTATGTGCGTAAAGAGGTCGTCGAGTTCATCGATGACGATTTTACTGCAATTCCGCTCCCATTGCCGGCTTTTTGGCGCAGATGCAAGAAAGGCACAAAAGCACACAGTCACACACAGAAAAACCGCGGGTGTGAGGTAGAAGAGTAGAATGCCAGAAGAGCCCAACTCTGCCACAACAACAACTAGACAGCCAGGGGGTTCGCTTTTGGGGCATTTGGGTTTCGGCCTCTCTGCGGGTTTTAGTACCCGGTTCTTGAAGAAGGATAGATATTTTTGACTATACAGGATAGTAAAAGTTGGTCCTTGAGGAAATAAGCTTAAGATTCGGCTACTATGTTTAAGGCTATAACAATATATCTTTAAAATAAATTTAAATACTTTACTATAACACAAAAAAGAACAAGAAAATATATTAATAATCTTACTCTCCGAATATTTGAATATAAACCAATCGTTTTCCATTTAAAACCAGGTATCTCCTAGTCGATCCTTTAGCAAAATTTTCGTTTTTTTTGGCCACCTATCCAGTTTGCCTAGCCGTCACTTTTTTTGGGGTCGGGCAGCAATTTTATTTCGGCGACGTGACAAACGCAATCAGCGTCAGTCATATGTGTAAAAATGTTTTCCGCTTCACGCGACTCACACTGCATGGAAATCGAGCCACAAAACCCTGCGTTAAGATGTGCCAACATGTTCACACAGTGTGTCTTTAACTTTTCGCACCTGGTCTAGACCGATTCGGTGTCCCCTCATTAGCTTTTCCATTCATCCAAAACCTAATTTGCAGCCTGCCATCCCAAACAAAAAATCACTTTGCTCTCGGCCTCTGTGAGCCTTTGCAGAAACTAGTTTCAAGCCCAGAAACTGGCTTTTCGGCCAAGAGTCGCACATTGAGTTAATTAAAGTTGTACATGGTAGGCGCAATCAGGAGGAGAACAAAAAACACATGTGACCAGAAGGGTGAGTGTGTACAGAGTGTGTGTGTGTGTGTGGGGGGGCAAGAGAAAAGGCCAAAACAAATTGCCAAAGTCAGAGCGGCAACGTAGAACTTTTTTTTTGTGTGAGGGCTGAGAGCAAATGGCAATTTATAAAATCCTTTGAAGTGTCGAAAATCAGTAATTGTAGTCAAAGTGCAAATTGATTGCCAGTCTCTCTCTCTCTCTCTCTCTCTCCTTCTTTCTCTACACTCTCCTTCACACGATTCGTGCCGAAAAATCAGTGTGGCAGACATGTTTTATTGAGTGTAATTTGTAGTTGCAAATTAATGGCCGCACTTCACTTTTAATTAAAATGCATCCAGAAGAGAACTAGAAGCAGGCAACTGTGCCACAGCAGGCTGTGTGATAGAATAGAAGTGTGGATGCTCTCTGAGCTGCAAGGCATCGGGAATCAGTCTTAAATAAAACGAAATATGGATTTAAAATTGTTTAAAAATAATTCGGCCTTTTACATCCCTTATTTGTGATCTTTGATTGCTAATAAAGTACTAAAACACTAAATAGAATTTGTGAAATGTACAAGAGGATACCAGATTTGTTATTATTCCTCATTTTATTGTCTTCAAGTTCCAAAATTGGGTATTCCAAAGCTCTTACCCTCCTACACACCTACACCAACATAAAAGCATTCCTTGTAAGGACACCAATTAACCCACTGCCATAAAAAATGAAAATAAACCTGCATTCATGAAACCCTTCCTAGGCAGATATTTAAAAAGTAAAGCCAAGTTTTGTGACTTTCGACTTCTCCTTCGAACTCCATATATAGTCAGAGAGTTAATTTCCTGCCAGCGATTCTTTTAGACTTGGCTTACGTCCGGCGCCTTTGACATATCAGCGAAAAAGAACTCTTATGCTCAAGGGACTTCCTGTGCGATATTCCTTCCTACCTTCAGTTTCCCCGAGTTTCCCTTGCCTGCTGCTGCCTTTGACGCCTGTTGCATGGACGAGCCGCTAAAGGATGCAACTGCGTCGAAGTTTTGAATAAATTTTCGCCATTTGCCAGCGGCAACAGCGGGAACAACAAGGCAACGCCACTCGCATCCTCTCAACGTCGCAAGGACGCGAACGAGGACATCGAGGCATCATCAATTTTGGTTTGCGAGACTCATCAATAAAACATAACAGCGGCAAATGGAGACACATGTGACAATGCGAATGCAACTGTAGCTGGAATATGGATGCCGTCGATTCCTCTGGAATCCCTCGGCAGCTGCTGCGAGTTTCGAGATAAAAGCTCTTTTAACTGATTTGGTGAACAAGTTTCTTTGGCAAGAAAATAAGCAAGGAATTCAATTGAACTTAAGAAATTAAATTTAAGTTAAAGGTTTAAAAATGATGGCCTGAATGAGCTTGTATCTTTTTTCACACCTTTCTAGCTATCAGCCAAGAATGACTCCACCTGTGAACTCGCCTTTTCTTCCTTTTTCGATTAGGTTCACCACCAAATATAGAAAAATACGTATATTTCTGTGTTTTTGGCAATGCTGAATGTTTTCCAGCAAATCAAAAAAGGCAATATTGTAAGATGAAACTCCAGTAAGCAGACTAAAGGATACCGTATAGTTCTCTGCTCTTCTTACTTCTTAATAGAAAATAATGAAACCTGGCAATATGGAATACAAAGAGATATCATAGCAGAACCAATCACAAAACCTTTTGAGGTAAGATAATCATCTTATATATATATATATCTATCTTATATATATATAATATATACCACAAAAATAAAAATTCAAATTCAAATTCCTACAAAACCATAATGCTCTTCCCCCTACTCACACAGAGTAATAAAAATAAAGTCTTGGCCAAGAAGAGGAATGATCCTGTCAACACCCTGAGGTCAACCCAACCAGCTTGGCTCTGTTCTCGGCTGTCTTGGCTTTTGGCCAGCGAACTCTCAACTCTCGACTCTAGGCAGTTGAATTGAAACTTTATTTCCGCTCAAGTTTCCTGGCTCTCAGGACATAAGAATGCTGGTGATGGGTATGTGAATCAGTTTGACCGCGAATCCAATCGAGCCCATGATGAGGAATCCCACTCCGATGGCCAAGCAGGTGCGTTGAAACTCCTGGCGATTGGGCTTGGTGCAGCGCTTCAGGAAGCGCAGTGAGTTCTTGGCCAGAGCAGCGGAGGGCAGGACTCGAAGTAGCTGAGTTTTGACCCGTCGTCCCAGTCCCTTGAAGGACTTGCTTTTCAAATTGGGTAGCATTTGGCAGAGGCTCCTGGAGATCACCACAAGAATAATGTGATCGCTTATAAATATTCTGGTAGATAAACTTACGCCTCATCATCTTTGCGCTGGTACTTGCGCCGACGAGCTATGAGTTGCTCCATCTTTTGATATCCAAATTGATTTTTTTGGGGCAAAACTTGTTCGTATATGAGCCTGGTAACTGGACTCCCCAGGCCTGTTGAGATCGACATGGAATTCGGTCCTAATAATTGCCAGCTGTTGTACCGAACATGGCCGTCAGCATTTGCCACATGCAAAGTGTAGCAACTTGAAATGGAAAATACTGGCCGGCTTACACACATAATCAAACTTTACGCAAACTGTTTGCCAGAAGCCGGCACACACAAGTATACACCAGCCAGCACACACACCAGCTCAAACATTCTCTACTAGTTTTCTACTCCGGCTGAACGGAAGCTGAATTTGTGGAGCAGAGTGGCAGAATGCAGGCAGGATCCCGGGGAGTGGTGGGACGGGTCTTAAATGCTGCAATTTGTTTCACTGCCGAATCGTTGCTGTCTTCACTTGAAGCTTAACTAAATGCACAGGGAGTCGGTCCGAATATGTACCCAGGCCCCAGCACATTCTAAGCTAAAAATTGCCCCCTCTCGCTCGCTCTCCCCAAGTGCCGTCTCTCTTTCTCCCCTGCATCTATCTCTATCCATCTCGGCGCGCGGAGAGGTGGCTGTTGTGCTACGATTTGACAGCCTTGGCTTTGGAGATCCCCAGGACAATTCACTGCAAAATTGGTAGACAAAACTGTGCCACAACGGGCTCCTCTTGTTCTTCACCACGTATATGATTACACTGGGAGAAAGCTAGTTGATGATTTTATTTATAATGATATTATTTTTAGAGAAAACAAGAAAGAAAGCTAACTTTGGCCAGCCAAAGTTTGTATACCTTTGCAGGTAACAATTAAAATATATCATAACTAAGCCAAAAATGCATTAATTTCGATTCGGAAAGCAGTTTTGTGTTAGTTTTTATTAGTTTAAAAAAACTGCATATCAAATTTAAAATTTTAAGAAATCAAAATTTCTGGCCATTTTTGCTAATTTTAATGATGTAACCCCTTATCAAATTTCACAAAAATGGCCAAAAAATCGATTTCTTCCGGATATGTCTAGAAAGATTCCCCTGTTGATGCTGATCAAGAATATATATACTTTATAGGGTCGGAAACGTCTCCTTCACTGGGTTGCAAACTTCTGACTGAAATTATAATACCCTGCAAGGGTATAAAAAGAGTTACTTCAACCCTTGCCTTTTTTCAGGATAGAAAAGCTCTTTTCGCAACATTTTTAAATAAAGAATTAAAAAAGTTTATAAAGCTTATAAAGTTGATTGAAGTAAAAACAAAATACTTACATTTAAATACAATTTTTGTATTTATATATTTTTTTTATTTATTTTATTTAAAATATTCTCTGAAAACCTATCAAATAATCTTTAAAAATAAATTCCTCGAGATAAAAACCTACAAAATTTAAAAATGGTAGCATTATTTAATTCGTCTCTGAAGCGATATTTTTATATAAATATTATAATTATTATTTTTATTATAATACTATATTTTAATCATAAACTACAATTTTATTTCCCTGTGTAATTGTACGGAAATGAGTGTATGCCAGTGGCAGTGTTTGTGTGCCTGTGTTTGTGGGTATTTATGATGGTGTGCGTGCCTGCCGTTTCAGGCATTGCCATTGAGATTGAAAAATGTTAAAAAATTGCTTTTAAATGCCGCAAAATACAATTTATTATTCAACAGAGGCAAACGCCAAACACTGAGAGCACAATGTGCGCCAAGGGAGAGGGCGGACGAGGATGGTGGCTTGTTCCGGGCTTTCTGGAGGAGTGACACCGGGTTGAGAGGGGAGGGGCATGGCCAGTGTGCGTAGGAAAGCTCAACAGTGCCGACTGCTTGGTTGTAAATTTAAATAAAGCCCCCTCACACACACACAGACACAGAGGCGATTGTTACTGCAGTTGTTTTGTTTATTACGCATACGCACTGTGCGCCGACCATTGAAGTTGGTCATGGAGCGCAACGAGGCTTGCGGAATTACTGAGCTTCTTGCCTGCCCGCTTTTCCGTTTTTAGGGTCAGTCCCTGGTAAGCAGCACTTAAAGGGCTCTTATACAAATTATTTCACTCGTTCCAAGTCCTTGGGATAATCGCTTAAGATGGCTTACCGGAACAAACTTAATTTATATATTTTAATATTATATTTATGGTTCTTCTTTATATGCTTAGATTTAAATCTTTAATTATATTATTAAGTCTCTGAAACCACTTCGTATTTTTTAATATATTCCCTTATTCCCCAAATCAAACTATAAATTTCCACGCAAATTCGTCTCATTTTATTCGCAATCCAAGAGCAGTTAGCACACTTTTGTGTCCGACTAATTGTGGATCAGAGCCGGCATCTTGGTTGGTAACTTTTTTTTGTTTGCGGTGGCACTTGAACAATTTTCCATGTGCTCCAAAAACTTTGGCAATAAAATTTGTTTCAAATTGCTTTCGAAAGCCGAAAGCCCCCCCGAAAAAGGGAGGCAGCACATCCGGCGTACTTGCTCCGCAGAGGCAAAGTTGTCAGCGGGAAAATGACCAAAGTGCACCCAGAGGGCCAAAATAAATATCAAATATATTGAGAGGGCGAGGCAGTCGCGCAAAAGTTAATTACATTGTGTTAACCGGGGGCGGGGCCAAGGCCTAATTTTGTAATTCTCTTTCTGAATCATTTAACCATGAAATTGCCTGCCCGGCCACGCCCACAGCCCACAGCCCGCCGACCGCCCCCTGTCGTCCTTCTGCGAAAGGACTAACCAAATGATAACCCACAACGCATTTGCTCCTCATGGATGTCAGTCCAAATGTGCAAAATTAGCCTTTCAACTGCCAGTGCCACGCCCCCTTATCATCGCCATACCATCTGATGCTCCTCCCCCTCCCCCTCCCCCAATTGGCCCCGGAGCAGCAGCCACCATGTTGACAGCTGGCACGCAATTTATAATGAAAAGTTTCCACTCGCACAATCCCCCGGCTGCGATGGGGCTCACCTATTCCGATATTTTCATTATTTGTGTTTATTTTGTAATTTCTAAATAATTTTGTATAAAGATATTAATGCAATTAGAGTGAGTTGTGTTTTTTCCCCATGCAAATCGTGAGTTGAGGGAAAGGGTGTGCAGCCTGCCTGGTTAATTTACAGTGTCTTTTGATGTTTAAGCCGCTTTTGCCCTTGGCCTTTGGCAAAAATCTGTGGCCTAATGGCAGGGGTAAAGAAATTAATTAAATTTCATCAAGTCTTAATCAAACTTTGGAGATTTAGTAAGTGGGAAATAATGGTAATTCACTAGAATTTTAAATTAATTTAAAAAGATTATTTATTCTAAACAGAACTTCACTACGAGACTATAGGAAGCCAAAAGCTGTTCTATATGCTAAAGAATTGTAAATATTTCCATGAACCAGAGTGAGTTAATGCATAATCGAACTATAACTCTCAGATTGGATCTCTGACATACCTCAATGGCATTTTCAGGCTCTGGCCAAATCGAAAACCCATCACAGAAGGAACACCGAACCAACATAAAGATATAAAACCTGCGCAATGATTGCCAAAAACGGAACGGCCACAGCCACAGCCATTACCAATTTTTGTGCTTAACGCTTCAGCGAGCAAATCACTGGGACAGACAGATAGACATGGCCTGGCACAGGGACAAGCACAGCGATACATTTCCAGATACAGATACAGAATCAGATACAGCTACAGCTACAGATGCAGAGACACTGAGGAGCAGTCATAGTTTTAGTTCCGTTCGTCGGCTCTGCCTCCACTTATACCATCAGCATGTCATCATGGCAAATCAGAGGACATGCAACATTGCATAAAGATTTGTCACAGCTAAGGCCCCCAGTTTGCCACCCGGAGAAAAATAGCAACAGCCGATGGGAAACTTTTGCAGGCCAGGATGCTCGGTGGGAAAGAGGAGGGAATGGCTCAAATCGCATTTTCGCATGCTCAAATACGACAAACTGCAGCCAGTTGCGAAATGGTAGCTACAGGATGCAAGCGGAGGCGGATAAGGATGAGGATGCCAATGCCGAATCCTGAGACCCGAGCAACTTGCTGCAAATTCAATTTCGTCTGGCTCGATTGCATTGCGGCACATTGCTTGAAATTCAACTCCAACTCCGGCACAAGCCCCGATTCTCAACTCCATTCCCATCGATTCGCATTGCATTTCAATATATAAATATTTATACACAAGCGAATTTGTGCACAGCTGAGGGCTGTCAGGCTACACTGGAAAATAATGAGATTAGGGAGAACAAATATTTTAAATTTTATTAAAAAGTTGTTTAGTAAACAGAGAACTTCATAAAGATTAATCTAGAAAATATATTAATTATTAATTATAGAAATTGGTCAGAAAAGTTATCTAGTAAAACAAGTTCCTTGAAAGTGATATCTTCTTCCTTAGATTACATTTGAAAATTGGTAAATTTTGTAAATATTTTTGCATTTTTTTTCCAGTGAAGTCCCCCCGAGCTTATCCGTACTTTGTCGCACTGTGCAAGTTCGACTAAAATGAAGATATATGAAGCTGTAACTGACGCCGATTCTCCTCTTTCGCGGCCCCACAAGAGTAATGGTCATGTCCTGGCGATGTAGCTGCATCTGTTGTTCGAGCTACCAGAATCGTTTAGTTTCGCATTGGCCTTTTTTCTCTGCTGGTCGTCTCCCTTGGCGACTGCCTAATTCCGTTTATTACAAGCTCTGCCCGACATTTGATGTCTGCCTTTCGCCATATAAATCATGGCTAAGCCCTTATGACATATGCTAAAATTTAATTCCCCAAGACCTTTTGCCGCGACGGGGTTAACCGGCGTTTATGTTTAGCTAAACGCGTGACAAAATGATTAAACGGTTAGCCACGACAAGGGGCTACTACAAGCATCCCCAGACCCAGTTACAGGCCCTGGTGTTGGCCATTGTTTGGGCCATGACTGTGCAAAATGGCTGATGATGTTAACGATGCGATTAGATGAGTGGATATTTTGGCAGGCCTCGTGTGTGTGTGTGTGATGCGAAGATTCAACCTGTGGCAGTCACTGCTCAAAAGTGCCAAAAGTGTTGCCGCAAAGTTTTCGGAAATTTGAATATTTAATGGGGCTAATTTTGGGCAAATCTTTAAGCCATTAGCGAGAGGGA